AAAACTCTTCAACAAACTCATTACCTTCTACGTGACCACAGACGTATTCTTTGTGACAAATTCAGAGAAATCTTTCAACAAACCAAGCTAATGCACAGAATGGCAGCTGAATCAAGGCGGTGGCTGGGTGGCCCTCACATGCAATATTGGCCACAGCAGCTCAACTTTGCTGTGTTTTGTGCAACACAGGGCTGTGGAATTTCGAGAGAAATCTTTGACAGCGGGGTGGCAATGCCGCCACAAATAAGGGCTTTTTATAAATTCCACCTATATTTCACAGTAAGACGAATTTTGTACCAGCTTGGTAGAATTCAGAGCATCAGCGCTTTGCCAGACCACCCAACCCTCAACAAATCCAACAACCATTATGACGTGGCTTCATACAAAAGGGTCTGCGACAAGTTCGGCATAAATCCCTCAAGTGATTTCCGCTACACCCATGAAGCCAACCACGGCCTGCGAAGCATATACTTCTATGCGTCAGGCCGCACAATGCTCACAAAAAACCTGTACCCGGGCTACAACAAATTCAGTGATGAAGGTGGGAAAGCTGATTTATTACATCGAGCCGGAAAGCGTTCCACAGCACGACTGGTTCGCCCCAAACACAGCCTCTAGGTTGACGCAGGCAGGTCTGGCATGCATAAACCAGTCAATCAAAGCATTTGTGTATTGCATCTTGGGTGCACAGGTCAACGTGTGAAGCAGTATTCTTGGCCAAGGTGGCTGGGCGAAAGAAGCCCAGAGCGAGTTCTTGGTGCTGATGGAAGACGCGATCAGACAGCACGACCTGGCCCAGAGCGTGTAAAGATACCAGCTAGCGGTAGATGAAGCCAAGGTAAGGCTCAACCTGGCGGTCTCCCAGGGCATGTGGCTGATGCCTGCGAGAATGATCATCAACACCAAAAGCACAGTGGGGTACAACAAAGCATAGGGCATGTGGCTGATGCCTGCGAGAATGATGATCAACACCGAAAGCACAGTGGGGTACAACAAGCTGAAACAAGCCGTTGCTGGAATGAACCTGGGGGTCAACAACGAGGTAAACCCGGGCACAAAAAAAGCCACGCTCAAACTCATGGTAGGCAGCCCATCAAAAATCAACCCGCCCAATAGCCACCCATCCAACCGGATACACAAAGAAGCCATGGCCACCCAAACAGGCAAGCTGCAGCCAAAAAAAGAGGAGGCCGCAGGACAAGAGGAGCCCACGTGTGGCTCAACAAGTGAGTCGAATGCAACGAGCCAACACGAAATCAACAAAACAGGGTGATAATAGGGGGCGTAGGGCTCGTGGCGTTGATCTTAATCGCCTTGCATTAGGCCTGTTTTTTGATATATTTTTCGAAAATAAAGAAAACAGCCGCCAAGATCAGAAGCCAGGTGTGCTCAGTGAGATAGCCAACCATCTGCCCAGCCGTTTTGAAAAGAAAGCTCATGACCTGGCCGATCAGCCCGGGTAGCAGGGACCCCAGCTTCGTGCCGATTTCTTTGAGGCCAGCCCCAAAAGCTTTGCCGGTGGCTTTCAAGGCATTTGTAACCATGCCCACAACAGCCCTATTGTGATGCCAGCTGCCAAAAGAATGGCTGTCACAGTGAGGCCATATTTTTTGAAAATTTCTCTGATTCCTTCGCCAAGAGGGAGAGCCCTTTCTTGTTCCTCAATTTGAGTTTGCAAACGCACAAGCTCCTCGTTTCTTTCTGCGACACAAGTCTCAGCGGCTTCTCTTTCGGAGGGCGAGGTGTTTTCATCTTGGATGACCACCCCGTCTTCTTTGTTTTGGTGCTGCAGCTCGCTTTCGTGCTCTTTTAGATCGTCCAAAGGCTTGGTGGTGTTCAACCTTTTTTCCACGACATTTCTTTCACTTTCTTTCTCCGTGAGTCTTTCTCTGAGTCTGTCTACCTTTGTCTGGACTTTTTCTTTGTTTTTTACTTGTTTTTCAAGCGCAGTGACTTCTTTTTTTGCGTTTTCAAAATTGGTTTGATAATTTTTTAAAAAAATTTTTAGCCTTTGGATTTCTGCTTCATTTTCAAGATTGGTACCCTGTTCTGATTGAAGAGCATCGATCCAGGCCTGGGTTTGCTCAGGTTTTTGGTAAAACTGTTTCATTTTAAGTTGTTCTTTTTCTCTTTCTGCAGCAAGGGCTTCTGCCTCTTTTAATTGATTTTCACCTTCTGTAAGTCTTTGTCGTTGTTCTCAGATGGTGTCGCGGTCTCCAGCTCTTGGCCCAAGAGATTTTTTCATTTCTTTTCTAAGTGAGGGGTTCAGCTTTTGCTTGTCTTATCTGTGATGAACAGGTTATAAAGTTTTTTGCCGACACCAAACATTTTGACTTGTATGCGCCCTGTCTCGCTATAAGAAGATTCTAGATTTGTCACGCTTGCCTCAGGAAAAAAATGCATTAAAGCATCCCATGAAGTTTGACTTTCAGCTTACGCCCCCAACAGAGAGGTTTCTTCAACATAAGAAGTGTCAGGCAGGCTGCTCCTCTCATGTTGCCTCAATTGTATTTCTATTTCTTTGCCTCCGTGGTAGGGAGTAGACAACGCGCCCGGCTGAAAGGGTTGTGTTCTGTTGACTTCTTGTTTGTCATCGTCATCATTGTTTTCAATCTGATAGTCAAGGTCTTGGTCATTGTAACCAAAATCACCGCGGCCTTCTGCCATCGCAATATATACTCCATGTATGTTCTTTTTAAATTAGAAAATAATCAAGGCTTAATATACCATGTCGTCTGTGAACGTTCTGCCTTCCGCTCCTCCTGGTGAAATCCCGGACGTGCTGCTTCCAAGATACACGGCAAAATCTTTGGGGCCCATGAAGGGGCCATGCGCCGTCAAACAAATTACCTTCGATAAATCCAAAGCCGCCCCCGGTGAGACCCTGTAAGTTTCGGTGCCCAAGCTGAACGAAAACAAGGTGCTGGTGCCCGGTTTGCTGGCGCTGCGCTTTGACACCGACCTGGAGGGCGGGCATGCCATTAACTTTCATTCAGAACGTTACACAGGCACTGCTCAACAAGCTCATCGTGAAGTTTGCAGGGACCACCCTTCAAGACACGGTGGGGTACGACATCTACAAAACGTTCGAAGACCTGTTCCTCTCTGTCAAAAAACGCGACAACATGACTCAGGAGGGGATCCAGAGCAATAAATTGAGCAAGATACGCTCAAACGCAGGCGACAAGGCAAGCGACCCTGCTGAAACCAAGCTCAATGAGATCTTCGGAAGCAAATGCTACATCAGGCTCGACCACCAGATCTTAACCGACCACGCATTTTCTACCCCAAGGCGCTGTACAACAAAGTGACGTTCGCCCCTTCTTCACAGGTGGTCAGAGGCTCAGACGCCACCAAGCTGAAATACAAGCTGACCAACATCCAGGTCGAGCACAAAATGATAAGCAGTGAGTTTCTCGGAGCTGAGGCGATCAGCATGTATCAGGCTGGCAAAGAGTTGGCTTACAACCACATGATGCACCAAAAACCTGTGTCCTTTGAAAGAGGAGCAGATTCACGGCTGAAAATTCAAAGTCAATGCTCAGAAACAGTCCCTGAAA